AGGTTCCCCATATACTTCACATCTCGTTTCTCCCTTTGTTACCATTCCATTACATTATACACAGTTCTTGGGTAAAGAACATTCCACTTACAACTTCTACTTGCTTGTTAATGCTATGTATATTTGCCCTCGCTTTGAAAAGACTGAACCAATTCCTGCTTGCAACAAATTCTTCATCACAATCACCTTCATTTGTTGCATGTGCAGCTTTTAAGTTGCTGAAAGGATTGAGCTAAATAAGGTGGCTAAAGAACTGTATGTACCTATCTGATTTATTTATAAGTTCCACTTAACAACTTAAAAGACACAGGAATAGATCTCATTTGTAACCTAGAGACTGCCTGTAAATATAGTGCAGTGGCATATTTGTAACAACAAATAAACCAATATTGATACATGATTGCAACTAAAGTTGACTATCTTTAGATTTTCTTAGATTTTCCCTAATGTCCTTTTTCTGTTCCAGAATCCTATCCAGGACACATCACATTTAATGATCTCCTTAGGACCATCTGTTGTTGTTGTTAAGTGCCGTCAAGTCGGTTCCAACCCATAGCGACCCTGTATAGGGTTTCTGAGGAGTAGCTGGTGAACTTGAACCACCGACTGTGACAATTTCTCAGATTTTCCATGTTTCTGATGACATTCACAGTCTTGAGAAGTACTGATCAAGGATTTTGTAGAATCTCTTTATTAGAAATTGTATGGTGCTTTTCTCGCGATTAGACTGGGGTTATGGGTTTGGGGGAGGAAGACCATTGATGTGACATGCCATTCTCATCACACCATATTAGATGTACACACTATCTATGAGGTGTATCGTTATAGATTGACCTTGATCACCTGGTTGAGGTTGTGCTTGTAACATTACATCCCAAACCTGCAACACACACTTTCTATACTGTACTCTTTGGAGGGAAGAGTGTGGAAGTATGTGTGCAGTCTACACTTAAAGGTTAGGATAGTTAACTTCTTTTTATAAGGCAGCATTTTTCTTCACTAGACAGCACTTAACAACAACATACAGATAATGGAGTCGTGGTGTGGCACTGTAGGGTAAGCACTCAACCAAAAGATCAGTTTGAACTGCAAGGTCGGTGGTTAAAAGTTGCTAGCTGTTCCTTGGAAACCCTAATAGAGTTGCTATGAGTCGCAACCAACTTGACAGCACTTAACAACAACAACAACAACAACATACAGATAATAGAAACTTGATTCTTACAATGACACCAATTCTTCTGCAGCCCTTTCCAAAAGGGGGGGCGGTGGGGGGGTCCTCTTTTACTTTCTCAGCCTCCCAGAGTAAGAAGGCAGCATTTTCTCTGCTCTAAACTTTCATTTCTAGACCACATTTCTACCACAGGTGCTAGAATTCCTCTATTTTTCAGAGATCACACAAGATCAGGCGCATTCAGGTACAGCCATAGACAAGGAATCTCTCTATTTTTAAGGTGATTGTCCTTGTCATCCCTGTATTCCATTTCATCCTTTAAGCAACTGTCTTTGCAACACTCAACTGCTGGCCTCTGTTGTCTCAGCCCTTGCTAACAGTTGTCCATTATAAAGCTAATCTCTCTTCTTATGCTCTCAGTCAAATCCTCTCTGTCTAGAAATTTCTCCATTTTTACTGTGGATTGAGTGAATGTTTACATAGCAGAGCATCAGTTTCACATTCAACAAATAATATACCTTGTTTTATTACATTGATTATAATCCCCTCCATGTACCATCAGTTAACAGAATTTCTCTCTATTCACTTTAGCTTTTTAAAACACAAAAACAAAAGACACTCAGGCATATATAATAATTTACACCTCCAAAGGGCACATTGAGCAAGTCTGCTCCTGGCCACCAGCTCTTAGTCCCTCTCTTCCCATGAATCCAGAGTCCTCAGCTGCTCCCCCTCTCCATGCCTCTGTCTCTGGCATCTCTGACTTCTCTGGATAAGGTCCCACATTCTGTTTGTGCTCTTCAACCTTGATGGTCCTAGGGTCCTCTGTTTTTGGACTGTAAGATTAATCACTCCCCTGTTTTTGATACAAAACTTCTACCTTTACAATTGTCATAGTCGCAGTTATTCATGATAACAGTTATTCACTATTGAATCATACAAATCGTATCCCCATCTCTTTTAACAGAACTGTTTAGACAAGATGAAAACTATTCAGTGGGACTCTTTGCCCACCCGCCCCCCAAACTTGTAAACTAAACTCCTTGAAACCTTGTAAACTAGTCACTTCATGCCTTTATCACCCCCTCATTTTAGGTAGCCAATGTCTAAGTTGCCTGTCCCTATCTACCCTGTGTACAGAGAGGATAGCATTGATACTTGATATGAAGACCCCTTCCCTTTCTGTTGGTATTTAGAATTACTACCTCCAAGAGTATAGGTCAAGTTCATCAAATTGTAGCAATTTACCTGTGTTTCCTTTATTTTAAAACATTTTTTTGTGTAATCTTCCTCTAGTTGAGTTCTGATTATCAAG